ATGCTGGCACTTTCACATCTATGAATCCTAATTGTCTCTTTCCCCTGTGGGTGCTGACTCCACTGCTATCACTTTGTGCAAATACACATCTAATCAAAGCGATGACTTTATGATACTCTGCTAGTCTCTGCAAGTTTGTTTGCCTCAAAATGTCTTCAAAGAATTTAACGCTGCTCATTATTGTTGCGTCCAGGAATGAACTCAGCAGTGGAGAGAGCTTTGCGGAGAGGAACCTCAGATCTTGACAGGTTAAAATGATGTAACTCCTTTAAATTAAATTGAAGAAGACTCTAAAGTGGGCTAACAAATCCACAGCCATCTACTGCACTTCAAAGCAAATGTTTATGACATCCACCTGAACCTTGTTGGTTTAGTTTGCATCATCATTTCCCCAAGTTTAAAACTGGTGAAGTTGCAGTTTTGGGTTTGGCCACAAGAGGTCACTGTGTTACCAGTCAAGTATGTTAAAACAGTAAAATCCAACTGATTATAAATTATAAATTAATATAAAATGTTTTTGTGTTTTTGGTTAAATATTCACTAATAAATTATATTTCAGTAATGACGTTTTTTTTTTGTATGAGGAGAAGGTGAATAATGATGGCATTGTTACTGCTGTCAAGCTGTGGACTGGAAATATGTATTGTAATACTGATGTGTGACAGTTTCACAGAGGAATAAATAGTAATAAAACATAAGACAGTTCTTAAAATTGTTAAGTTCAAATAGTGTGCATGTTGCATATGCAAGTTGTCTCATTTCAAACTAAATAACTTGTCAAGAAAAGCCCCTAATACACCACTTGTAAAAAAAATAAAAAATAAACTACATTATTTCTGAGCACTATAGGCAGGCATTTGTTTTAAATTACAAACATAAAAATCAATTCAATGTGAGAAAAACAACTATGTCTTCATATGTAATACTTTGCACAACTCAGTGTTCCTGAGCATGAATTATACACAAGTTGTTTGGTCCTTTTTCTTTATAAAAAAAGATACTCCATTGTTAACAACAAAGTCCATGCTCAACAATCCAGGTATAGAATCCAACATTTATGTATACCTGGATTATTGAGCATGGACTTTGTTGTTTTCAACCAGTTTGACATGACTGTCAACAAGGAAGAGGGCCAGCACTGGAGGAGGGGGCGTACCAAAGAGACCATCTTATCACAAGCAGGACTGGTTTGTTCCACTTTGGAGTAAGCTGTTGGGGGAAGAATCAGTTTTGT